CAGTATTAATCAAACACAACACCATTCAGCTTTCCAGTAACTGAATGAACTATTTTTAGATGGTCTCGTTTCTGATAAAGAAACAAACGCACACCTCAAAATAACCCCCCAGAATGCTCTATGACTGTCCTTTACCCAACCCCCCAGCCAGGGAGGCTCAACATAACATTACTGGCAAGCAGTCCTGCTCTGCTTTTTCTACATTATGATCCAATGTACCAACAGTGAAAAAAATAATTGCCTTGGGCATTACTCAAGTATCAATAAAACTGAGAAAATAGAACAAACTCTAAAATTGATAAAAACATGATTAATTTTTTTTCTGATTTGCTGTTCTCAATACCTAAACATCATTTGTAATTTTAGAACATACACAAAAAACAAGAACTGCCATTTACTGGGTCAGACTGTAGATCCATTTTGCCCTGTATCCTGTGTCACAATGGAATGGCGGAGAATGGATACCAAAAGGGAGAGCGACTAGAGTTTTTCTACTTTTCCTCTCTTGCAGCATCCTGCATTTGGTGTATAAAAGTTCCAATTCAGAGGCTGTATGCCTAACTCCCATGTTCAATGGCTACTGATGCACCTTTCCTCCAAAAATCTGTCCAATCCCTTTTCAAATCTGGCTAACGCGTCAGCTTCTACAACATCTTGTGGTAATGAGTTCCACTCTTAAGTTACATGCTATGTGAAAAAAACTTCCTTTTGTAAATTTACTACCTATTAATTTAATTTTACAACCTCTAGTTCTTGTATTGCGAGACAGTAAATAATAAATCCCTATTTACTTTCCCTTCACCATTTCGTATTTTGTAAACCTCTATCATGTCACCCATCAGGCACCTCTTTTCTAAACAGAATAGGACTAGCCTCTTTAGTCTCTCCTCATATGGAAGCCCCTCTACACCACTAATGATCCTTGCTGCTCTTCTCTGTACCTTCTCTAGTTCTTCTCTTCTTTACTTCATATTTTGGTAGCTTTGAGTTTTCCAGATGCTGAAAAAAGGCTGTGGTATTTCAAAAACTTCCTCAGTTCTCCCATAATTAGGACAGCATAGAAATGTATCAATTAGACCAGCTCATTTGGAAAGCAACTGAAAGTACATATGTTCCATCAAAACAACTTATATGGGCTGCTTGGAACGGTACGTGCAGCCTGCTCGGGTACGAGTGGCTTGCGTTTCCCCCAGCTACATACCTCTGAAGAAGTCCTGCCTCTCCCAGAAACGTAAGGCTGCAGCAGGGCAGGTTTAGCAGTCAGCACTGTGGCACCAAAAGCGAAGACAACTGGTACTTCAGCTTCCACCTCGTAGGATCCCCTCTGGCATTACATCCTTGTGCTATTTCAATTTATATAAATGCAGCCATTGGGGCTGAGAAGAGGGGATGCCAGAGACTGAAGGTGATGCTCCTCAGCCAGCTTTCTTAAGGCAGATGGGCAAGACAAATTTTTCCCTCCCCAACTACCCTGAGACTGGAAGAAATTAGGGTTGAGGCAGTCTGGAGATTTCTTCCCCCAGACTCTAGCCAGACACTCCCCATCTGAGATGGGGCCTGAATATATGAAAGGGAATATATGAACAAGTTACCTCAAAGGTAACTTTCTGCACAATTTTAGATATAAAATAAGAGCAGCAATGTAAATAACAAAAGAAACAAAGGGCAAGATTTTCAGGAGCACCCAATTCGCTTGGGAATAGGTGTCTTGCCCCTTCTAAAAAGCTTTAAGTAAGCTCCCTTTTACTTAGTAATTTGCAGTTAGGACCATAAGGAATAGGAAAAGGTGATGCATTCCCTCTTCCACATTCTGCACTGGAGAACACTGACTGCAATTCTAGTCCATCAAAAAAGGCTTGTTATTGACCTCTCCGATGTCAGTCCCAATGAACGCTGACTGCTTTCTAGTTAGCTGATCCTGCCAAGCAGCAGGGAAAATCAAATATGAGGTCAGTGTGATCACAACACTACACCAGCCATTCTTTAAAAAGAAAGGAGTTGTTTCTCCATTGGTGGGTGAAGGCAAAGCAATAGAAGTTGAAAGCCAAATGATAACTGTTTTTTAAACCCAGGTCAACATTATCCTAAGTTGACAAATCCCCTTCAAATACTAAAAGCACTGTACTCACATTTACTTTTAATAATTTGCTGTTTAGAGATGAGTTTTCCAAGAGCTTTCTTTTCCTATGTCTGTCTGCTGTAAAAGCTGAACTATAATAATGAAATAAAACAAGTTACATACTATAAAAAGAAAACATTGTTTAAAATAGAGTGAAGGAGCATTCACTGTACTATCTAGCATAATTGTTACGCTTGCAACCACCGGCAGCTGGAAAGATTGTCTTCTGCTTGCAACATAAGCTTTTTGAAAGGTACAAGATAAACCTAACATTCTTCTTAACACAGATAGCACTCTGGGAAAGACGGTCTTACTTTCTATTTTCAACAGTGGCTAGTATCAGAACCCTGAAACGTTTCCTAATTCGCATGCCACCTCTGATCTGACACAAGCATACTGGTGCTCTAAATCAAAAGAACAATAGCATTTCTTGTCTTGAGAAACCACTCCAGGGCTTAAAGAGATTCTAAAGTGAGTATATATCACTAGAGTCACTCTCCTTAAAAAGACAAAAAACCTTTAGGTCACCAACACAAGTTTATATACTGTATTTACTTGAATCTAAGATGAGGTCCCTCACCTCAATCAGGATGGGGGGAAGCCCCGCCCCTTAGATTCACATACAAAGCAGGGCAGGAGGTAGGGCAGGTGGCTGCTCTGGCTCTGACCCTGAGCCTGGGTTAGGGCCAGAGTCAGATCCACAGCAGCCTCCTGCATGTCATCTGCAGCTTTTGGCTCATCCTTTGGCCTCCCTGCTCTCTCTTTCCCCACCACCTACTGTCAGGCAAAGCCCAGCTCTGGCTCAGACTGGATTCCCTACCAGGCATGGAGCACAAGGAAGCTCCATCCCCTGCCCAGCTAACCAGCAGTGCCACTGCTGCTACGTGGCCTGGCAAGGGCTGTGCAAGAAAACAGAGCCCAAGCAAGGTCTGATAGTGGGGGGTGGGGGTGGGGGAGCAGCTAGAAGCGGAAGCTATAGAGATTTGGGACAAACGCAAGGAAAGGTGTAAGGGACACCGAGTCTGCCACTATATAGAAGACTTTCCACATCATGGGCATTACTTAGTGGCAGTGATGTCTGAATTCTAAGGGATTAAAAGTATTTGGAAACACTGGCTTGTACATAAACTTCTGCTAGGTATTTTGCATGATTTCCAAGCAAGCTACTAAAATCTGCTATCTAGAACTGTCCCAAATGTCTGCATTATAAAGTTACTCGTATTTACAATTGAGTGGAAGAAAACATGTCATGGAAAAAGCATAGCTCTACCCTAACTATACATACAATTGCAAGTTTCTGTTTGGAAACCAAACCACTAAATGAACATTTTGGATATATCCATCTCCCATTCAGCTTTCTTCTCAGCTAACCAACCTACTCTTAATTTTGGGAAACATATACCTGCTTTTTGGGAATCCTGTTCCCACTTTCCATGGAAGAGAAAAGACTAGATGGCAAGGTTGCAAGAAAATTCCAGAGAACAAGTCTGAATTCCTCCATCAACCTACAGACAAAACTCCCTATTAATCTTGCTTCCTCCAAATGTCAATGTTGAAAGCAGTAATCCCTTAATTCTTGTATCTCTTTTCAGTGATGGTGTTTTAAAACATATTATGGTATCTCACATGTTCAAGGACAAAACAAGGCACTAAAAGGAAATACCATTCAAGTGAAACAACATCCAAATCCAGTGGTGTAAACAAATTACTTACTTTTCCAGGTTCTGCAGGTGTTCTCTGACTTTCTGTACCAGGCCCAGCTTGGTATCATTGACTACAAAATCATCACAGCGATAACTGCAACCAAGAAAGGGGGGAAGGGGGAGAACTCCATCAGCAGGTGTAAACATTTCCATTTAAGCATAACATCAAGACACTTCAAAGGCTGAAGGATCTGGGAAGGTTTAGGAAAGGGGGCACACACCAAATTTAACCCTCCTCTCAAAACTGCTTTTATCCTTACAATTTGTGCAGACAGCATCTTACTCCCAGAACTAAAGTCTAGAAAAAAATCTTAATCTCTCAATAGCAACAGCTTGCATCTGTTACAGCAACAACAGAAACATCTTCATCTCTTAATAGCAACAGCCTGAAAATAAAACCCGAGGTTCTAACCATCTTCCCACTAAAATATGAACCCGAAAACGCTGCATGTCACTGATCCTCCACAAGAATTCCAAAGGCTTCAAAAATGTGTATACATGCTTATGAACATAAGAAACATTAGTGCAGAGAAAAACCATACCCTGGTAGATAAAATTACAGTGCAGACAGTACAACACATAAATGAAACCTGAAGCTGCATATAATGAAACTATACATCAGAATCATATTCAGTATCTAGACCAGAGATTTTCAACCCCTGGCCAGCAGGCCAGTTTCAGCCCATGATGCCATGACATGTGGCCGACAGGCTCTCCACAGGTCCTGAAATTTGGCTGTAGGAAGTGGTGAAACCACTCCCCTGCTGCCAATTTTCTGGGCCTGTTGAGATCCTTGTGCACTGGACTGGGCACCCGATCTCTGCACGTAGGGCCAGACAGGGGTGGCACCAGGCCCCAGGGCCAATCCTGGCACAGAGGGGACAGCACCAGGTCCCATGGCCCAATCCCAGTGTAAAAGGCTGGGATGGGGCAGCACCAGACTCCAAGGGTCAATCCCAGGTTGGGCAAGGGGTGGCAGCAGGCCCCTGGGGCCCAATCCTTGTGTATGGGGGTAGGAGAAGATGGTGCCAGGCCCCAATCTTGGCACGCTGGCCTCTATCTGGCCCACGGATCAGCCCTATACCACTCATCTAGCCTGCAAAGCCAAAAGCTTGAACACTACTGATCTGAACTGTTTTTATTACAGTAGTACTCAGAGGCTAAAAGTTAGATCAGGACCTCATTCTGGCAAGCAGTGTACACATATAAGTGGAAGTCCCTGTCCCATAAATAGGGACAAGGGGTGGGGAACTAAGGCACAGAAAAAGATTACACCAGTTGCCCAAAAGTATACAAAAAATCTGTGGCAAAACTAGAAATTTAGTGGAGAATTCTCCTGTCCTGATACAGAGCCTTAACCATGAGGTCTTCCTTCCTCCCAGGAAACAAGTTTTTGTACGAAATTCTCAAGGCAAGTTATCAGTCCCTGAAGGCTTTAAATGTTTACAGTACTTCAGTGATTAGCAGCTCAGACATGCTGACATGCTGTATTTGAAAGCCTTCAGCTAAGGCTACAGAAGACAGGTGCTGCCATTACAAGAAATGGATAACTTAGCTGTGCAAAGGAAGTGCCCGATTCCCCACTGCTTCAAACACAGTGTGCACAAACTAATGCCAAATCAAAATGACAACATTTTACATCCACTGTAAAAGCAAGTGTGCCTGTTGCAAGGCAACACAGAATCTATACCCAATTATCTAAGAGGCAGCGATCAAATACTTACACAATCCAGACAATATACAACAACTTCAAATGCATGTTTCACAGCAGTCTACATATATCTGCCTGCAATGGTATTTTTAATGAGAGTACTCATGTTGCTTTTATGATAGAGCAAATAGTCCAATGTGGAAACACAGACTTCAAGAGGTTAGATTTTACTCCTGCAGTACAGCTGGCTACACTCTGTTTAAAACTGAAATTTCACATTCAATTAAGACTTCATCTTCTAAAGGAAGGCAGGGCATTTGCAGAATGCTCACAAAAACAATATTCCCTCCCCTCCAAAAAAACAAAAAACACCCTAAGCCTGAAAAACCAACATCCATTCTGTGTTCTTCCTAGAAGATCAAATGTGTGAGAGCACTGGGACTGGGAAAAGGAAGACGACACAAAGTAAAATCTAGGGAGAAGTTTGCTTCAAGTACAATCTTAACTGCTTTTTTGTTCAAGCTTTCCAATGTCCTTCCTCTCATACCCACAGAAGGAAAGAAAGCAGCAAAGCTTCCACTCCATTGGTCTACACCCAAGGAGCCACATCCCCTCCCCTTCTACTTAAGGAGGGCTGAAAGAGGAAACGTGCAGGCAGGGAGTGCACACATTAGCACTACCACAATGAAAGGGCTGCAGAGACCTGTAACCGGAGATAAAGCCATGCTTTAGCCCTGCAAAATGCTCAGCCTGGTAGGGTGTGACCAGGCTCTGTTCAACTCTCACCTTCTCTCAGAGTCAGCAGGGATGTAGTACTACTTGCAATCACCCAAAAGAAGTTGCAATCTGATGTTCTAGTCTAGTCCAAGGACTAGCTAATGCTGCTTGGGAGTGCAGTGAGCTGTGTACAGTATTGTAATGAGGGAGACAACCAAGGCACCATCAGATGGAGGGGAATTAGAAACAGCTGCAGTGCTGGACCAGCCACCACTGTGCTGCCAGGAGCATCTTTTCATCTACAAGATCAGCCTGCCCCGGATTCCTGTAAATGCTGTATTGGAGGAATGAAATCCACCCAACTCCCTAGAGACATTTAAGGGCTTCAATTATGAGGGGAAAACCTCTTGGTGAAAATGTGGCATGCACCAGCAGGAGTATTTCTGTTGCCAGAGTTGCACCAGCTCCCCTAAACTCTGCCAGCAGAAGCCATACTTCTCTTAACAGAGCTGCACCCCCACAGGGGATTTTGCCAGCATAGCTATTTTGACTAAAGGCAGGATCTTCCCAGACCCATAACCAGGGATCCAGGTTTTCCATTTGCCATGGGAAAACATGGATTTTCTCCTTTAAAGGACAGTTGAAGCAGGAGTTGAGGGTAGCACAGCACCCCCCACTCCAGTCGCTTACTCCTTGCGCTGCTGGTGGCATGGCTGGCATGGGGGTCCTGGCAGCAGAAGCAACAAGTCCCGCTGCCTCATTCTGCTCCACTCTCCCATGCCAGGTCAGGGTCTCACCCATGCTGGTCCAGCCAGGCTGCAGCACCATTGCTACTGGGGGCACACAAATCGGGGCGGGCATGTGCCCCCCCCATGCCCAACTGATGCATCACTTAGGGTTGGGCACTCCTGCCCTGTCCCCTATACATCCCTGCCCTGCCCCGCACACTGGGGAGCTGCAGCCTGGGGGCAGTGGGTCAGGAATGAGGGGCACCAGCAGGTCTGGGGAAGGCAGGGGGCTGTGGGTCGGGAGTGAAGGGCGCCAGCAGGACTGGAGATGGCTGTGGCTTGGGAGTGAGGGGCACCAGCATAGCAGGTCTGCTCAGCACCACAAAGCAGTGGAAGGGACAGCTGCAGTTGGACTGGTGTCCAGGTGAGCAAAGGGGGCAGGGGAGCTCTGATTTCCTATAGTGAAAAAATAAAATCAAACACCAAAATAGACAGGTACTTAGAATTTATTTTATTATAGTGATTGAGGCACTGGCAGGCTTCCAAATTGCTTTAAAACTGTAAATATATATCAATAAAACATTGTGTTCAATATATACAGTGGTGCTTCACTTTAATCACGGAAAAATGCAGGTTTAGAGGTTTTTAATTAGAGAATTTGGGCTTTTTAAACAGAGAACAGCAGGATCCCTGCTCATAACCAACACAGCTATACCAGCAGAACTTTGCAATAAAGACTAAGCCTAAGGCTTCTGAATAGATCCAATTACTACTGTGGAAAGGCCACTGCCAACGTAAGAAAATGTGCTCTCTCACCACCGACGCACCAGGATGACTAACCAGGAATGGTTTACCCATCAGCTGGTCATGATACTGGTTTATGAAAAAGAATAAGTCAGCCTTACTAAATAAAGCCCTGATTGCTTTTCTCCCAAGAGGCCCACCCCTCCAAATGAGGCAAGCTAACCAGACTAACTGGAAGGGGTGGAACAGATGCATGCAGGACCACCCTGTGTGATTCCTAGCATCAACATGCCCATGGCCTTATCTGATCAGGCACATTAGCAGAACCACAGTGCACATATGGCTGCAAACAGGTAGCAAAAGCAACCATAAATGCCACTGCAACAAAACACTATCTGGGATGAAGGAACTCTAAAGCTGGATTTTAGAATGTTAATTATTTTAGTTTTAAATAAATCAAAGGTGTTTTCAGTTTAAGGACTTTTATGAGGAATGTACATTGACAGCAGCCTTTTCATTTGTGATCATCAGGATTAACAAAAGTTAAACCATGAATTAGTTTGCATATATTACAACTCTATACTTTTAACAAAAGTAATAAGGCGGGGTAGGCAATGTTTTTTGGCCGGAGTGCCAAAAAACCCCACAATGCCTACCTCGGAAGCTGCTGG